CAAGTTCATCAAATTGTGTCAGATTACTCTTTTTTTCCTCTTCTTTCTTCTTCTGGTTGAGCTCTGATCATCCAGTCATTGAAGCCAGGTCAAGTGAGTATTATCTGCAAGTGTGGGTGTTCTTGTGGATATGCCCTCTCTTCTTATCAGCTGAATGCTTCACTCTCCACCCTAGTGCTCTGTGGCTATGTCACTGACTCTGGGCACAAGAGTCCCCAGGTCTTGCCACACTGCTGGCCAACCAGATCTCCACCCGGGTTCACAGGAGTCTATTGAACGTTGTAGGGATTAGCTTGCAGCTTCATTGCGATTTTTCCCTCACTTCCCCTTACTGGTGACGAACATGGTCACCAATCAGAGCATGTATTCCTATTGAGTCTTAGTCTTGGACGGGGGTTTGTACTGAGCAGACCCAACCACTTACCTTGATGTCTCCTGGGCGAGCAACTTGCTTGTTCTTGTAGTAATCAGTCGGTCTGCCTATATTGTTTTGTATTTTTCCTGTAGGTCTTTCTCCCAAGAAGTATCTTCTGTTCTTCTGGCTGCTTCAGGCTGGTCTGTCTGTCCTTTCAAGTGGAAATTTCCCACCTCAGATGATTCTGGATGCTGTTCAGGCTTCCACCTATTGTCTTATGTAATGCAGAGGCTCCACAGGAAGTTTCCTTCACTGGGCACGTTGTAGCCCTATTTTAGGTATTCCAATCAGTTATAGGCGGAAGACGGACTTACAAGCTTTCTATGGTGATATTTCTGGTTATTCCTTTCTCTCCCCTTCCAGTGTCTATTTTATAAAGTAATGCAAGGAAAACCAAGATTCAAAAGACAGCCAAGCATCTTAACATTATTTCCCCCCCTTTCCCCATTCCAACCATGTCTCAATCCTAGACTGCAAAGTATTCCAATTAAGTTTTCAGTCTGGAGAAAAATTGTATATTTCTCCAAAGCCACCCGTATCATAAATTTGTAGTCTCCAAGTGCTCCTGCCAAAGGATATATTGTACCTCCTCTTTCCCCATTCCCTTAAATTAATCTGAACGTATGCTAGACCAAGGAGCTCTGGTGGTGCAGTGGTTAAGAGCTTCGTTACTAACGGAAAGAAATACGGTTGAAGTGGCTCTCTGGGAGCAAAGACTTGGCGATCTACTCCCATAAAAAAAGGAGTTTAGGAAATCCTATGGGGCAGTTACATAGAGTCACTATTTGAGTTACAGTCCACTATTTGAGTTGCATACAAACAACAACATATGCTAGCCCAGCAATATGTGGTGAATGGAAAAAAAACAAAGGAGTCCTGGTGGAGCTGCTAACTGCAAGATTGACAGTTTAAACCCACCAGTCACTTTGTGGGAGAATGATGGGACTTTTCTGATCTGGTAAAGATTTACACCCTCCAAAACCCTATATAGGCTTGCTGAATCAGAATTGACTTGATGGCAATTTGGTTTGTTTTTTGGTCAAAACCCCAAAAGCCCACTGCCATCCAGTCAATTCCAAGAACAGACAGCCTCATATTTCTCCTGTGGAGCAGCTGGTGGATTTGAACCACTGACCTTGTGGTTAGCAGTCCGATACTTAAACCATGGTGCCACCATGGCTCCTATTAATGGTCAGTGTATCTTACTTTTATACTGTTTTGTATAACGTT